TGGGCCTAAGCCAGCAGGTGGTCATCCCCTGAGGGGTCCCAGACTGCAAGAGGGCACAGGCCGGCCTGAGGGACCCCCCCGAGTGCACAAATTTTTGTGCACCGGGCCTCTAATCTATATATATAAAGAGCCAGCGACCGTAACGCCGTAACTACCATAACAACTGGTCGCTATGACGCCCACTGTGGTGAGTGAACTGGCCCAATCAGGTACATAGGTCTCCTTTTTTCCACATTGACCCAAGAGCTCTCTATATGGTTTGCTGAGGCTGATCCCTGGCCAGCATTGCAGCTTTACTTATTCCTCTGCTCAAACCTGCTCTTTTTTCATTCTTCCCAGTTACTATTCTCAAAAGTAGCCTATATAATAAAGAGACAATATGCAAATCGACCATCACTCCCTCACACAAGATGGCCGGCCCCATGGGTCACAAGGTGGCGCCACAAGATGGCCAGCAGGGGAGGGCAGTTCGGGGGGACCAGGCCTGCAGGGGAGGGCAGTTAAGGGGGGCCAGGCCTGCAGGGGAGGGCAGTTGGGGGCGACCAGGCCGCAGGGTAGGGCAATTAGGGGCGATTAGGCCGGCAGAAGAGGGTAGTTAGGGGCAATTGGACTGGCAGGGGAGGGCAGTTGGGGGGCGATCAGGCTGGGAGGGGAGTGGTTAGGGGGTGATCAGGCTGGCAGGCAGAAGCGGTTAGGGGCAATCAGGCAGGTGAGCGGTTGGCAGCCAGCAGTCCCGGATTGTGAGAGGGATGTCCGACTGCTGGTTTAGACCCGATCTCACAGGGATTGGGCCTAAACCGGCAGTTGGACATCCCCTGAGGGGTCCCAGATTGGAGATGGTGCAGGCTGGCTGAGGGACACCCCCCCCGCCCCAGTGTATGAATTTCGTGCACCGGGCCTCTACTCCTTTAATAAGTACTGCCCACTACTGGACTCTCCCACCCTGATCAAGGGCGGGGCTGGCTGGCCAAACGCCCCAACCACTTTCCCCTGGCCAGCCCCACCCCCGATCGGCCCGCCCCACCATGATAGGCCCGCAGCCCCTCCCCCCAGCTGGCCCTGCCCCTGATTGCCACCCCCACCCCAATAGGGGGCAGGGCTGGCTGGCTAACCACCCATGACCCTACCCCCAGGCTGCTGGTCCCCGATTGGCACCCCCACCCCATTTGGGGGCGGGGCCGGCCAGCCCACTTCCCCTTCCCATGGCCAGCCACGCTCCCAATCAGCCCCTCAACCCCAATCGGGGGCGGGGCCCACCAGCCAATTGCCTGCAGCCCCTCTGCCCAGCTGGCCTGGCCCTGATTGGCCCTGATCCGGGTGGGCTGGCCAACCAACCTCCTGTCATCTCCTCCTCCTGACAGGCCCTGCCCCGATCCACCCTGATTGGGGCTGGGCTGGCCGGACCCCACCCGTGCACGAATTCATGCACTGGGCCTCTAGTCTATAATAAACATTAATGTCACATCATTAATTTTTACTGGCTATCTTAAAACTTAAAAAAGAACTTTTAGGCAAAGATTTGGATGAATTGGATCTCATAAGTAACTACTTTAGGGGAATTATGAACTGCTATTTAATACCTTTCCTACAAAAGAAGAGACATTTCATAGATCTTAGAGGAGGTTGTCTAAGGTGGAATCATTCTTTCCAAGACAATCTGCACTTAACCACTTCTGCCACTAGCTATAAGTATCCACCAAAGAAATATTATCATAAATGGTTAAATGCAAAGAGGAAAGGCATGATTGCACGAATACTTCTAAATTAAGCAAGAAGAGATGTGAAACATATCACCAGATATTTCTAAACATTTTGCATTTATTTACAAGGATTTCATTTTTTTACGTCTAAAACAATCAGAAGCCCCCTGAAAATTTAGGTTTAACAGTACCTTAATGGGAAAACTATAGAGGCTTTTAATTCTCTTTCCCTCCACTGGCATAGATACATGGCATAGTGTCTTAAAAAATACTTTGTTTTTTAGCAACTAGTAGGAGCTTTAGAAAAATTTCTGTTTGGGGGCATCATATTCTCTAGTTATGTTATTGGTTACAATATAGGTAAATAAAATGGTTGTAAAACACAATATGGAAAACCAAGCATAAAATCACCTCAAAAAAATAAATTTAAAAGAACAGCATTTATTTGTTTATGTTGCCCAACTTGCAAGTGATAAGACTGTAATGGACTTATATTTACCTGCGTTTACTGGGAATCACCCCAACTTCATCACTCTCACCATCTGGTGTAACCTGTCTGGCTTGCCACCATTCATCATCAGAAGCATTAATAACATGGAGGATATCTCCAAATTTGAAGTTCAATCCTTGACTGGGAAGGCCACTGTCTTTAGTTTTGTCATAATCAAAAAGGGCTCTAGGGTAAGAAGAAAAAGTTCACAATTACTTGTTATAATGATGTTATTAATAGTAAATAAACATAGGATTCTGAAAATGTTTATAATTTGTGTAATAAACAATATATCATCGCAGGCAAAATAATGCCAACCTCAATTTTGTACTATATATATAAGATGAGGCAAAAAAGAAAAAAAAAAGAAAAATTAACTTGTTATGGCAATAGTTTGTTATTGGGTATAACTCTCTTATTTCTTTCAGTGTTGTATAAGAAATTTAAAAAATACCTTTAGTACAATCCAATGGCAACCTATATTTAATTCTAAAATGAAGACAAATCTAGAGAGTTTTTTTACAATTAATAAACAAAAGTAAATATTAAGAGATACTCTTTTCTTCTCTTTATTTTGACTGGACATACTTGGGAAAACAAATTCACTGGTAGATTTGACTCATTTATTGTGAACTGTAAGACTAGATCAACAGATTAATTATTTTGCCAGTTAATTATTCCTTTCATTTGTTCATAAAATTAGAGTTAACAGGGTTTTCAGAATCAGTAACAATTTTGAAAAATAACTACAGATGGTTAATAGCTACCAAATATTTGGGAAAAATAATGTATTAATTTAATATAGTAAATGGAAATGTTAAGAGTATTTTTAGTTTCATAAAAAGAAAATACTGTGTCCTATGACTTGATTAATTAATGTACAATATTTAACCCTTTTCAGTCCAACGTCCAGGCTGACTCGACAGACCAGGCGCTAGGAGCAGGTCCAACATGGAGCTGAGGTCGACACCGCAAACCGCTGCGATTATATGCATTGTCAGTAAGGTGCTGGGTTGCATGTGGGGAAATGTTTCAAAAGATACCACACTATGAAATGTTTTAAAGAATAAACTCTTTGATTGAAACATACTTAATAATATAACCAGTGAATTTTTGGTTTAAACTTTAAAATAAGAACATTAGAAAGTTCAACATTCAATCCCGTCAATTAATTTGGACCAGACTGTTTGAATTCCAAAAATAAAATTGGACCGCAAAAGGTTAAAATAATGAAATCCTTAGAAAAGGATCCCAGCAATTACATTTATAATACAATTTATTTTTTCTTTTGTTCTAATATGACAACTGAAAATTAGGACACAAATCATATTCCATTTCATACAACCCAACTTTTAAGAACCTATCTCTTCAAGTAAAACTGAAGAGGGTGGAATTATTTGATGACTAAATGTATTAACAAGCTAATGGTTTTCAAATGTGTTCTTTCAAGTCTTTTCAGGGAAGTAGGTGTGAGGGAAGTAGGTGGGAACCAAAAGTGGGAAGGCTTAAACATATATTAAAGCATTTATAATATATTTCTGAAGAAAAGAATTCTATAGCAGAAAAAATAAAGATTACAATTGATATAAATGCTAAGTCATTATTCCAATCAATAAGTTCTGAACTCTAAGGAACTGTCTTTCTACTAAAAAATATAGCTGACCTCAAATAATACAAAAGTTAGATACAGTCACTCATTTATTAAATATTTATTTAAAAAGGTAATGGAGTAGATATGGCAAAGATAAAGATGACAAAGATGATGAGGATACAAATAAACATAATATAAAACAGAAAATAAAGTACATAAGAAAAGGAAAATAAAGTACATTAAGAGGTAGAACAAATGCCAGAAGACATTCAGAAAAGGGAAAATACTATTTTGGAACATTTTTATTATCATAAATTAATCTTTTGAATTACAAAAGTAATGTAACAGTATTATTAATGAGCAATGGAGAAAAGAAATCACCCCCAACCTCTCTTCCCTAATCTGTACTCAAGCTTTGTCTTTTAATATATTTGATTCATAAAACAGAACCCATGGAATATCTATGTGAGTTATTGATCATTGGAGTATAATAAACATCTGTTAATCTACTATCCAACAAAAGACTATAAACAAAACCATTAGCAGTAACTCATGTTCACCAATGTATTTTTTCCTCTTGATCCTGATTCCCGCAGATTAAGAGTAAAGTACTCTTAGAAGGTAACCACCATTTTGAATATAGTGTTTATCAGTTCCTTAACCCTCACCTTTTTTTAAAATTTGGTTTTATCACATGTATGTAAATGACTATGTAATCATGTATGGTTTTACTTGTTCCAGAGCTTCACAAATGGTATCATATTGTATGTTGCCTTTTGTACTTGGATTTTTTACTTAAAAAAAAATGTTTTAATTGATTTTTAGAGAAAGGAAGGGAGAGGGATAGAGAGAGTGAAACATCGATGAGAGAGAAACATCGACCAGCTGCCTCCTGCACGCCCCCTACTGGGGATTGAGCCTGCAACCTGGGCATGTGCCCAACCAGGCATCGAACCAGTGACCTCCTGGTTCATGGCATGATGCGTAACCACTGAGCACCACAGCCAGGCTATTTTTTACTTTTGAAATTAAAAATATTACTAAAAAGAATCATATGACTTCTGGTTAACTATGGCAGACAGGCTATATGTGCCTATTTCCTCACTAAAGTGACCAAAAAACAAACCAACAAAATAGACAAATACAAGAGAAACAACAAGAAAAGAGTGTTTAACACAGTGATGGCGAACCTTGTGAGCTCGGCGTGTCAGCATTTTGAAAAACCCTAACTTAACTCTGTCACATATAGAAATTTTTTGATATTTGCAGCCATAGTAAAACAAAGACTTACATTTTTGATATTTATTTTATATATTTAAATGCCATTTAACAAAGAAAAATCAACCAAAAATATGAGTTCGCGTGTCACCTCTGACACGCGTGTCATAGGTTCGCCATCATTGGTTTAACACCTTTTGCGATGACGGTAACTTAACCTAGCAAAGTGAAGGAAACTCCAAATAGAGTGCCTGAAGAGAGGGATATTGAAATAAGATTTATTCCACAAGATCCTAGAAATGCTTATGAATTAGAGATGTACAGTTCTAGGTAGGCAGAGATAAGTTACAATAATGAAAACAGAAGAACTGTTGAAAACACTGTATATAGCACTTAGACCCTCCGGGTCCCTTTTCCTGTTCTCAAAGCCATAGAAGGCAAGATGTTTAGTTTCCAGAGAAATTCAATTTCAAAAGCTCTGTACTTTAGAATGTGGCAGGAAGGTGGAAGATGTTGGGCGGAAAACAAAGGGTTAATAAGAAATCTGCACACTGAAAACTGAAATCTAGCAACCTGTTTTATACTCCAGGCAAGAGATTAAAAATTCTTCTCTAGAGATATTTAATGACCCCAAAGGAAAGAATGACATGGAGAGGAAGAGGGCAAAGAAAAACTCAATAATCTTCCAGTTAAATCTACTAGCTTCATTCTCCATTCATAAGAATAGAAAACAAGGATCACTAAACATTTAAACATAGCCTCACATATTAAAAAAACTCACACAAAACTAAAGGGAAAAAAATCCCGAGAAAACAAGAAAACTAGAAAAAATAGAATAGAAAGCCGAGAATTCAAGAAGCAGAAGAAAACACCCCAAATTCTCCATCAAGGAGAAGTCAAAATAAAGCCATTTTCAGACATGTTAAGACTCAAAAAATACCTCCCACACCTTTCTGTCAGGAATTTACTAGAGGATGTACTTGGCAAAATAGGTAAAAGTAAATTGAGAAAGAAGAAATTGTGGAATGTAGGAAACATACTGACACAGTACAGAGTCAAAGGGAATAGGATAATGGCAAAGGCAAGTCCCAGGTGAGAGCTATACAGCAAGTCTATAGAACAAATAGTCCAGGTTGGAACAGAAAGATGGAAAAACTGAACTGATAAGACCGTATGTGGGACCATATGTTTCATCATGTAACAAACTCTAAAGAGATTAGTAAGGACAAAGGAAGACACTTAATAGTAAGTGTAGGAAAAATTAGGCAAATCAAAATGAGACAACTATTAAGTCCAGGAAATATGAAGGGTTGCAGAAAAAAAGAAGTGTGGTCATAATAAACTGCTTGACCATGTAATGACAGGTATTACATAGTCACAAGACTCTAAATGCTATTAATTTTATTAGAAGTGATAGGATTATGTTTGAGCAATAGGGAAAGAGACAGAATGAGTGGTTTGGTATGAAAAAGTTCTCGTCTACCAAGGCAGTAAGTATATACTGTCTAAAGTTGGTAAATTAGAAAACAGCAGTATGTGCATATTATTTAAAAACTAGAGGTCCAGTGCACAAATTCGTGCATGGGTGGGGTCCGTCCAGCCCACCCCAATTGGGCCTGATCAGGGCCAGGCTGGCAGGGGGGGAGGGGCGGTGGGTGATTGGCCAGTGGGCGCCGCCTCCGATTGGGGTGGAGGGGCTGACTGGGGGTCAGGCTGGCCGTGCGGAGGGGCTGTGGGCTGGCTGGCCCTGCCCCCGAATATGGTGGAGGGGCTGATTGGGGGTCAGCGGCCAGGGGAGGGGCCATGGAAAGTTGGCCAGCTGGCTCCGCCCCAACTGGTATGCAGGGGGGCTGATCAGGGGCAGGGCCAGCTGCGGGAGGGGCTGTGGGCGGTAGCCACTGG